CAAAAATATAAACTAAACCTCTTATTTAAATAAGGAAATACCCAACTTAGTTAAAAAAAACCTAACACTTTTGTCGAGAAATACATTGAACCCTCTCCAAGGAACTAGTCTAAACAAGTACAAGAGCTTTTAAGAGATTACAAGGTTCAAAATAATAAGACACGACTTCCACCATAAGGAAAGAAAGGTAGAAGCTGGAGGAGATTATCTTCGTCATCACTTGAGATACATCACTGATCTTGCAATCAAACTATGCCAAGTGGCATAACAAGAGTAGTATCAGTACAAACAACACGTACTAATAGGTATCATTAGTCGACCCAAATTTACCACATAATGTCATGCAAATACTCAGAAGAAAACATACAATATAAGAATCACCCAACCCAATATGTAGCCACACGGTCTTACCATGATTCTAATAATCATGACCTATAGACCTTAAATCACTCACCTTTTCCCACTGCCAACTCCATTATCTAAGCCATTTCACCCTCACATCCGATCAATACTTAACCCTTCTATCATATAAAGACTCTTGATTTTCTATCCAGTACTACAACTTTGTTAACCTAACTATTACTCTCCCTCAAGATCTCACGCCAATACCCTGGTCCTTGACCAATTTATCAAATCACCTGCGAGACTCTTACTAAACTACCTTGATCTATTCATGTAATAAGATATGTCTCAGGCAGTGGCGGATTCAGGATTTAGACTCCGTGGGTGCCAAATAGTCTTATCGATTAAATTAATTTTATATTTGATTAAATTATTCATTTTTTCGATATAAATTAATTTTAGTTCTCTAATTTTTCTTAAAAGAACGTGTGCAGCAATTTCCTTTTTCTTAAAAATATGTCTTTCTCAAAAAAATAGGTACAAATGGGATTCGAACCCGCAACATCAGCCTTCTAAAGTTTCCCTCCTACCGTGGCACCACAAGCCAATTTTATTCTGTGGGTGGCGCGCTTTATATAAATATAAATATTATATATATACCTATGTATATATAGAGTTTTCGTCTGAAGTTCGGAGATGGCGTGACACCTCCACATGCCTTAATAGATCCGCCGCTGGTCTCAGGCTATTCAGACTGACAATACCGCACAAGCTAGTGAATGAGCAAGGCTTCCAGTCAACATCATGACTTAACAACCACTCGAGACATACCTGAAATCATAAACATTCACCAAAACCTAACTTCTCACACCTTTCAAGGTAATCCAGACTACCAAGAACCTCCAGACATTATCTACATTGTTTAATATGCCCTCTCGATCTACACAAGAACCCTCTCAACATTTAAACACAATTTACGTCCATTCAAGGAACAACATGTAACAATCACATTTCAATGAATTAAATCTGATTCACTCATGGAACCAACATACAATAGAATAGTCAAACATGTACTAGGTGTGGTACCCAATGATAAGAATCAAATGGGAAATTAAAAGAAATAAGAAAATATATGTGATATAATCGAAATATAATCGAACTTATGAGAAAAAAAATAACTTTATAGTTTCACCTCTTAATTGAATCCGATCAGATAACAATAACCTAAACTCAATAAAAAATGAGAAAATCAAATTGAATCCACAAAGAAGATAATTGGACGATTGATTAAGTTAGAAGAAGTTAACACAAATAATATAGGGAATCCACCCTAATCACTCAACTATAATTACTAACTATGAACTACACTAATGCTAGGCTTAACCTAGAAACTACAAGCTTCAAAGCTCTCAAATATTCAATTCATCATAATCTTCATAATATAGTCTTCCAAAATGATAAAAACTACTCCCTCTGTCCCATTTTATGTGAGGTAGTTTGACTCGGCACGGAGTTTAAGAAAGAAATGAAGACTTTTAAAACTTGTGGTCCAAAATGAATGATAGAAATTTGTGTGGCTGTAAATCATTTCATTAAGGGTAAAATCGATATTTTATAGTTAAATTGTTACTTAATATAGAAATGTGTCATTCTTTTTGGGACTGACTAAAAAGGAAAGTAAGTCAAATATATGTGATATAATCGAAATATAATCGAACTTATGAGAAAAAAAATAACTTTATAGTTTCACCTCTTAATTGAATCCGATCAGATAACAATAACCTAAACTCAATAAAAAATGAGAAAATCAAATTGAATCCACAAAGAAGATAATTGGACGATTGATTAAGTTAGAAGAAGTTAACACAAATAATATAGGGAATCCACCCTAATCACTCAACTATAATTACTAACTATGAACTACACTAATGCTAGGCTTAACCTAGAAACTACAAGCTTCAAAGCTCTCAAATATTCAATTCATCATAATCTTCATAATATAGTCTTCCAAAATGATAAAAACTACTCCCTCTGTCCCATTTTATGTGAGGTAGTTTGACTCGGCACGGAGTTTAAGAAAGAAATGAAGACTTTTAAAACTTGTGGTCCAAAATGAATGATAGAAATTTGTGTGGCTGTAAATCATTTCATTAAGGGTAAAATCGATATTTTATAGTTAAATTGTTACTTAATATAGAAATGTGTCATTCTTTTTTGGACTGACTAAAAAGGAAAGCAAGTCACATAAATTGGGACAGAAGGAGTATTATTTATACTAATAACATAAAATAGACACTTCTTTGATAATTTTACCTTTAACGAGATAAATGTCTTGTTTGGTTGCCTTCTTTTGTGAATTCTTAAATTTATGAGATGGTCATTTGCACACATGGTCACTTTCTTCTCTCTCTTCACTTTGATGGACCTTCAACACATTATATGTCTTTATTTGATGTCATCAAGCTCATCTAAAGCTTCCATATGATCTATGATATCCATGTCGTTTTCACCCAAGCCAACCAATAATATCATGTACTAGATGTGGTATCCGAGTCAACCATTAATATGTACTAGTTATGGTACCCGAGCCAATCAAAGTTATCTCGTACTAGGCGTGGTACCTGAGTCAATCAATAATATGTACTAGGTGTGGTACCATAGTCAACCAAAAGATATCCTATACTAACCGTTGTACCCAAACTAACCAATAATCACACAAACACAATCACAATTACAATGGAATACAAGTAAACAAAAATACCTTCATTACAGAAGATTGACAACATTTCACATTCAACCTTTATGTTTTCCCCATCATGCATTGTACATGTTTCACTATAGAGACAATTAACATAACTTGAAAAACAATAACCATCACTCTCAGATGGCTCTTCTGGACAATTCTTCCCTCTTATAACCCATAACTCACACGTTACCACCCTTAGAATAACACATAACAACATCTGTAAGGTTCACATCATCAAATTAAGTACCGCAACATCCTAAACAACCGCGATCCACACATTCGATCATCCAAACTCTGTACCCGAAGGCCTATACATGCAACCTCCCGACAATTCACAAGGTATTATGTAGGGAAAGACAGATCTAACTATCCAGTTAAGCCTAACCTACTTGGACGCCAAATAATTGCCGAAGAACTTTAAACACAAGCTTCCGGTTCCATGGGGTTGAATTCTGACTGACGTAGACTGAAAGTACATGGGTTTGACCCTCCTTGAGCTATAATTGCTCCTCTCCCTTGTCCCCAAGTTTGAAGCAACTTTTGGAGGGTTTTTGGAGTAACCCTCGTTTGCTTTTACCACTATCTACTAAAGAGGCGGAGGAAAATTAAAAGAATTTGCGTTACCAACTTTCTGCCCTGCTGACCCCGCTAGAACGACTGATACATCGCTACAGCAGGGTCGCCATAGCGAGAATATTTTCGCTATGACGGGATGACGTTATCCTGGATCAATTTCAAATTTCGAAATTTGCATCGTGTCACCCCGAATTTAAATTGGTGGTGTGTTTTAAAAATTCTTGAGATTTAGGTTTCTTTAAATAGCGACGGAACAAGTCGTTATAGTAAAAAGCTCAATTTGGACTCAATTCTAATCTCGTTTTACTGTTTTATCTTTAATACTCCCCCTGTCCAATAATACTTGTTCACTATTGACTTTGCACATTTCTTATGGAACTATAAATAGAAGCGTAATTTTACTATATCACCCTTTGAATATACTCCCTCCGTTCTTTTTTATATGTCATCCTTACTATAAATAGTTGGTCCATAATACTTGTCATTTTCATAAAATCAATGCATGAATTACAATATTCTTCTTAATTTTTCCTTATGAGTTATTAGCATTGAAAATATATATTTGACCAACATAGAAAAATAAAATAAATAATTAATGTTCATTGATCAAATTAATTGATCAAAATGAATTAATTCATATACATTGATTGAAAACTTGACTTGAAAAAATTATTAAATAAGGGTAGAATAATAAACTTATATAGTTTCTTAATGCACGTAAATCGAAAATGGTGACTATAGAAGTATAGATAGGAACAGAGAGAGTAATACATATAATGTTTTGAAAAATGTGACATGGAAATGACTATAATTAATGTTAAGGGTAAATTAGAAATTAAATGTAAAACTATTCATTAATTTCATAAAATCGATAAGTATTGTTGGACATCCCAAAATAATATAGTGGACAACTATCGTTGGACGGAGGGAATACTAATTAGTATTTATTTTTTAAATATTTCAATCTATAAGAATATTATAGTAAAATATTTATATTAATTTTTTAAAGTGCTTTGTAAAGTACTCCCTCTGTCCCTAATTACTTGTCCACTTTTGAATTGACACACCTATTAAGAAATCAATTAATGACATAGTGAGTTTACCATTTTATCCCTATTAATTATGAGTGGATGAAAAGTTTTGCATTTTTCAAAGTAATTAGTGATTTAATTGAGGATATAATAGGTAAAAAAAATTATCATTTTTTTATTTATCTAAATAAACAAGTAATTATGAGCAATTATAAATGAAAAAGTGGACAAGTAATTAGGGACATAAAATTTAAGGTGGACTAGTGAAAGATGCCATTAAACATAGTTTATTTCGGTGAGCGTGAAGTTTTGAAATTTTTGTTGTGACTGAAGAAAAGGGACCGACAAGAGGAACTTTGGTCTGAAGTTTCTTCATCATCATCATTATTAATCCAAGATCCAACAACAAGCTTTTACTCAAATCTCCTTTTCTCTTATTCCCTTTTCTAAAAGAATGGTTTCTTTTCAACTTCTATAGCTGATTTACTGAAATTCATATACAGAAATGATATACCCAACAAGGGTTCTTCAGAACTTGTATTGTAGTAGCTGATTTTGTATGAAAATTTGATGATTAGTTGTTTAACTATTGCTTGGCTTTGCTTTTTGAGCTGACACGAACAAAACATATGTCGAGAGATTTTGTTCAATCCACTTCAAGGCTGTGTTCTGGTAAACTTTTTTGTTGTTGTTGATTTTTTTGTAGAATTTTACTTTTTTCCTTACCCCTTTTATTGAGAGACCAAATAATTTGCTAGACCCTACTCATTTTGTTGGAGTTTGTTTGGCTCATATTTTTAGAGGTTGGTTTCCCAATGGTGTTTATTGCGGATCTTGACCTGACCCATTTGGATTTTGGGTTGGTCTCTTCTGAAAGATTTGTTTTCAGATTAAGGATAGTTGGTATAGTTATTCCCTATGTTGAGGGTCTATTGGTAACGGTCTCTTTATATGTTCGAGGTAGGAGTAAGGTCTTCGTACAATCTATATTCTCTTGATTTCATTTGTGGGATTACATTGGGTATATAGTTGTTATTGTTATTGCTATTCCCTATGCTGAGGGTCTAGCTAAAATTGCATCTCTTATCTCTATGAGGTAGGAATAAGGTATGCGTACAATCTACCTTATCCCGACTCCACTTGTAGGATTACACGGGGTACGTTGTTGTTGTAGTTATTCCCTATGTTGCTCGACTCTCATAAAATGTTGCCGCATCCATGTCTGATCCTCCAAAAATGCACTATTACATTTTTGAAGAACCCGAGCAACATAGGTTATTCCTATAGGGAACCAAAGTGCATACTGTAGATGATATTCTTGGTTAGTGTAATCTTTACCGAAATGAAAAGGGAAGAAAGAAAAATTGGTATCGAGAGATAAATTTAATCCAATCCGTAGAATTTGGGGTTGATTTTGGTGATGTTTCTCATCTGGTTATCGTTTGCTTGGACCAAAGCTGATTGAAATGTATATACTTGGAGGCTATTTATGCTTCAGAGTCGGATAGACCAGTTCTCCTGAATTTAAAGGGACCATTTTGGTCAAAAACTGGATGGTTAAACTTGAACATTGTGTTATAAATGTCTCATCAAATGACTTCTTAGACTTTAGGACTCTCGAATCACTTCACACATTTTTTTTACCTGTAATCGTTCTTGTTCATATAAGTTATACAATTTCAAATATTGATAAACTAGTCACGAGATAAATGTTTGTATGCAGATGTGTCCATACATTCGTGAGCATGTGCTTCTTGTCTCAATTATGCTCCACATATATCTTCTTGTAGTTGTGACTTTAGCTTGAATTTCCGTAGCTTTTCAAGATAGCAAAGATACAAAATGAGGGTCAAGAACAAATTCAAGGAATCATTCATTTTACATTGCAATGCAGGGGGGAGATTGTTTCCACTTGTTGTAGGGTGCCTTCTTTTCCTTCACCTCTTCTCCTTTGCTCATCAAAGAAATGCGCAAAGTGGGGAGACTCACTTAAGTACAAACCAGCGCACACAGTTTAGCATACTTGAAAAGGTCGAGGAGAAGAATATACAGCTTCCACAGCCCAGGAAGCGATCCGCACGTGCTGCCAAACGGAAGCCTAAACGGCCAACCACCTTCATTGATGAATTCCTCGACGAGTCTTCCCAGCTAAGGCATGTGTTTTTCCCTGATCAGAGGACTGCTGTGGATTCTAGGAAGGATAATGGGAATGATACCTACTATTACCACCCAGGAAGAATATGGTTGGATACAGAGGGAAACCCGATACAGGCTCATGGGGGAGGCATTCTTTACGATTCGAGGACAAAAATGTATTATTGGTATGGAGAGTATAAAGATGGCCCCACTTATCATGCTCACAAAAAAGGAGCAGCAAGGGTAAGTTTTGGACTTTGATGCATGGGTTACAGGTTAAAAACTTTTTTATGTAACACCATCGCTGTGTTGTCTAGAACGGCTTGTCTACATCTTGTAGTCTAGGCAATTCTCCTCCCCTCTCGTCTGTTATATACAATGTGCTTGAATAAAAGATACTTAAAATGGAAAAATGAAAAGAGACCTTATGCCCGTCCAAGAACACTCCAAAACAAATAATCTGTGTGACGTCTTGCTTGTGTTCTCCTTTAGACAGTAAAGAACAGAACTTAGTCACCTGTGAAGCCTTGTCTGTGCTAAAACACTCGTGGTCCTTTTCTCCATTCCATTGATTATGCATATGGATTCTTTGCGACTACCTTTCCTCCATTCTATAAGTTAACCATCCATTTGTGTCTTTAATGAAATTAAGACAATTATGCAGCAACAAATACTATCTTTGTTTCTTTGTTCGTTTGTGTGTGGATAAAATCATCATCTATTGGTCCTCTCAATTCTGCTATTCTATTGTTAGCCCGACACTGCTTAGTTGATTCCATCAGTGATGAACTTACATCATGAAAGCTGTTCAATTGATGCGCCAATGTGGCCTTGTATGCTCATTGTGGGGCTGTTATACAGAATGATAGTGCTGTGTGAAAAACAAGATCCATTTGCCCCACAAAAATTGACAATAAATTAATTTGGAAGGAAAAAATAATTCAAAATAAGGAAAAAAAGAATGATAACGGAGAAAGTATGAAGAGACATTGATGCATCTAGGATCCGCGGTCTACGATTTTAGTATAATGATCGGATAGAATGATAGATGGTGCGAGCATGAAGAGATGAGGTAAAAATGACTGATGGAGTGATGAGTAGGAAGTGTGTCTAGGATCCCATGGTCTATGATTTCAGTATCTTGATCTAATAAATCATCAGAGAAATGGAGATTATTTTCTGTCTTGATCACTGAATTTTAAAATTGAACGTTGTTCCATTCCCGTTTAACTGCTGAAATTTAAGAGATGTAACATTTGGATTTGGAAGATAAAATATATTGCCTCTTTTCCTCATTGATTAATTTATCTAATGAATTCTTGAGTTGTAACTTGCTTATGGTAGGAGATATATTTTCTCTCAAATTCCCCCTAATTACTTCTTTTCTACAATTATAATGTGGCAATATTGAGGAAAAACAGTACGGAAGTTTGCATATGAAAATAGAGGTATAACACTTTATAGTCAGAAGAAAGGAACGCGTACTAGTTTTGTGCTTAGTTTCTGGCTGCTGTTCCGTTTTTCATGGTTATTTTTAATAATTGTATGAAGTATTATCTCATTTTTCATGCTAAAATGAGATTACTTTCTAATCCAAGTGTAAGTCGTTCTTGTTGTGCCCGTTGGTAAGTTAGGAATCGTTGGAAGGCAGGATATGAGCACTGGAAGTTGACTCTTGGAATCTCAGACATTGTAGAGATATAGTCTGTAGGCAAATGTGACATTACGTTGAAGTGACCTAGATGTTGCTAATGTTGATTGTTTCCTCGGTCCCAATTTATGTGGCACCATTTGACTTGGCACAAAGTGCAAGCAAGAAAGAGATACTTTTGAAATTTGTCGTCTAAAACACTCCTTGATCATTTGTGTCTATAGATCATTTTGTTAAGGTAAAAGGGAAATTTTGAAGTTAAATTACTGTCAATTATAGAAAGGTGACATTCGTTTTGGGACGGACTAGAAAGGAAAGTGTGTCGCATAAATTTGGAACAGAGAGAGTATTAGACTGGATTTTGCTGTTTGATGTAGACGAAAGTTTTGCATATGGCATTAAGTGCTTTGGTGAAATGATGACAATGTATCTCATGTTCGTAGCCCATTAAGCAAATTTTTGATAGCATTTTCCTCAAATACTGTTAAATCAAGTTGGAATCTGGGAATTTCGTTAGTTCCTTCACAGCTCATCTCTTATTGATTACTCAACATTGGGTGCTTTTATAAGCTGTTTTGACGAAGGCCAAATATTTTTTCTTGGTTGGCATTCAGTTGTGCTTTAAGGTTTTCAGCTTTTCATCTCCATGATTTTGTCCTTGCAGGTTGATGTCATTGGTGTCAGTTGCTATTCATCTAAAGATTTGTGGACTTGGAAAAATGAAGGCATCGTTTTAGCAGCTGAAGAAAAAAACGAGACGCATGATTTATACAAATTGAATGTGCTAGAGAGGCCAAAAGTAATTCACAATGAGAAGACAGGTAAATATGTGATGTGGATGCATATTGATGATGCAAACTATACCAAAGCTTCGGTAGGTGTTGCTATTAGTAATTTTCCTACTGGCCCCTTCAATTATTTGTATAGCAAACGGCCTCATGGATATGATAGCAGGGACATGACACTGTTCAAAGACGATGACGGTGTAGCATATCTGATTTACTCATCGGAACACAACAAGGACCTTCATATTGGTCCACTTAACAAAGAATATATAGATGTGACGGAGAGCATGAGAAAGATTCTTATCGGACAACACAGGGAAGCACCTGCTCTATTTAAGCACCAGGGAACATATTACATGATCACTTCTGGCTGCACTAGTTGGTCTCCAAATGAGGCCCTTGCTCATGCATCCGATTCAATTATGGGGCCGTGGGAGACCATTGGAAACCCATGTATTGGCGGGAACAAGATTTTTCGACTAACTACTTTCTTTGCTCAGGGTACATTTGTGGTTCCTTTATCTGGGGTACCTGGTCTCTTTATCTTCATGGCAGATAGATGGAATCCGGCTGACTTGAAGGATTCGAGGTATGTGTGGCTACCATTGACAGTGGGTAGACCTTTTGATCATCGTCCCGAGTACAGTTTCGGGCTCCCTTTGTGGTCTAGAGTGTCTATATATTGGCATAAAAAATGGAGACTTCCTTATAGGTAACAGTGAAAAATGTAAATAGGGGTTTTAAAACTCTGAAAACATATTCTTTTCTCTGTTGTTTTTGAGTATTCATTCACAGCATGTGTTAAAGTTATTACCATTGATTTAAAAGAGGATCGGTGTAAATTTGTAGAGTTTATATATATACTGCGTTTCTTGATATTAACTATCTTGTCAAACTATATTCATTCTAACTATCTTGTCAAATTATTCATATATATTTATTTTTTCAAATGGACAGATTTTATATGGTGTTCAACCACAAATTCTATACTACAGTATTTTATTTTATTTATTCTGTTATATTATTCACAAGTTTTAATGAATGAGTAAATCTTACATCCATAATAATAGAAACCAATTGCACCCAAAGGGTAGCGACTGCTGGTTTCCTTTGTTATCAAAAAAATAATAGAAACTAATTGAAGTTGGGATAAATTTATTTGTGAAGTAGTAAACCAATGGATTAAAACATTGATAAACAAATGAAACCCAAGAATAGCCACTTTTGGATAGCTAATCAAATTTTAGTACCATCTCACTATTCAAGATTTAGACTTTTTTTTTAATGCAGAATATTTTTGATTCTTATCTAAAACATGAAAATATTTGTGTCGAAGTTCGAAATTTTTACAAGTGAATTCCACCGTAGCTCAAAATTCCCCTACAAATGAAACCTTATCACCGTATATCGGAGTTTCGACTTGATTTTTAAATAAATTTTCTATTATATACTTATTGAACTCCAGAAATTAATAAATGTAAAAGGTTAGACCTCATGACATTATTTTAAACTTATAAGAAATATCACGAGTGAAATAATAATTTTCACATATTTTTATATTTTATTATTTCACTCAAGATACTTCTTTCAAATTCACACTAAATTCCCAGAGTTGAACCCCAATCTTTTTAAATGGGCCGAGTCCAATAAAATCAAAACAAAGGCCCAATACATAACCCTAGTTTCACTATCCCCAATCTTCTCCCTATAAGAACCAAAAAAACCCTAATTTCATCTTCTTCATCAGCCGCATTTACAGAGAAAAAGTGCGTGTGAGAATCCGTTTCTGCAACAATGAAGTACAATCCAAGAGTTTCCTCCTCTCGCCGTAAGAGCAGAAAGGCCCATTTCACTGCTCCATCAAGCGTTCGCAGGGTGTTGATGAGCGCACCCCTTTCATCTGAGTTACGTACCAAGTACAACGTCAGATCTATCCCGGTGAGAAAAGACGATGAAGTTCAAGTAGTAAGAGGAACCTACAAGGGCCGTGAAGGAAAAGTTATGCAAGTGTACCGTAAGAAATGGGTGATTCACATTGAGCGTATAACTAGAGAGAAGGTTAATGGATCTACTGTTAATGTTGGTATTAATCCATCTAAGGTTGTTGTTACCAAACTCAGACTCGATAAGGATCGCAAGTCTTTGTTGGATCGTAAGGCTAAGGGACGTGCTGCTGCTGATAAGGATAAGGGTACAAAGTTCACTGCCGAGGAGGTCATGCAGACTATTGATTAGATTTAAAGTCATCTTTCTTCTATCTCTGCTGAAGAGAGGTTATATCAGTACGTTTTTGGTTTATTAGGGTTTTTGAGATCTCTGAATTTTTGGGTTTATTTAATGTTAATTGAATGTTGCTGAAAGTTGTTAATTTTGGGTTGATCAATATAACTCAAGTTAAAGATTTTAACTTGTGTGCCTGTTTCACTTTATTTATGGTTCTTTCTGCTAGAATGATTGCTTCAACCACTTTGTGCTTTGAATATAACTTGTGCAATGTTTAGTGACTGACATGCTTATTGTTTATATTGAGGTTCTAGCTATGTAGTTTCCAAGGTAATTAAGGAACTGCATAGCTTCTAAACTTAAAGAGTTGTTCGTAGTGTATTCTTGGTTTGTACTTTATGAAAATTATGTTAAGCTTGCATGTTCAGTTTTGTTCAGGGATATGTAGATTTATCTATAGTCTCATGTGGTTGATTGCAAGCGTTGTAAATTCTTTGTTGTTCACTATATTGTGATCGAAGTTCTTCATCCTATTCTATTAATAGGATCACCCAAAAAGAGTGGGAGGGATAAATAGGATTCATTGTGTTGCAATGCTAGCTAGTTCGGGATTGAGTCCTGGTGTCTTGAATCTATTAGAAGCTTAATATCTCGGCCTTGTGGGATTCTTCCTCTGAAGTAATGGCAGGAGGTAAATAGAGCAGATTTGTTTGATTAATAGGGTCACCCAAATAGAGGGGAGGGATAAATAGGATTCAGAGTGCTGACCTAACTAGTTTGGGATTGAGTCCTAGTGTCTTGAATATTATATTAGCAGGTTGTATCTCGGGCTCATAATGTTCTTCTTAAGAAATGGCAGGAAGTGATTAGAGCAAGTGAAACACTAGTTGGGAAGAGAAGGGAAAACAAACGGAAAAGATGTGTAAAGAGAGATACTTCATTTATTTGGAATAACACTGTTCCATTTTCCATCTGATCTTTTCTGCCCGCACCTGAACATTTTGTTCCAATGGATAAAGTGGAAAAGATGGTTTAGGGTTGCTTTGGAAGTTGGTTTTTCGATAGAAAATGGAGCTTTAAGTCTATGACAACTAGATCATTGTATCGGCTGTCTTAAAGTTGATAGGTTCTAGGTCTGGATTTGGAACTAGAAGTGGTCATTGGTGTAAATACTGCTGAAGTACCGGGCAACTGATAAGGACAAGGGTACAAAGTTCACTGCTTAGGATGTCATGCAGACTGTTGATTAGATTTAAAGACATCTTTGTTCTATCTCAGCTGAAGAGAGGTTATATCAGTACATTTTTGGTTTATTAGGGTTCTTGAGATCTTTGAATTTTTGGGGTTTTTTTTCTGCTAATTGAATGATGCTAAAAGTTGTTAATTTTGGTTGATCAATATAAAAGTTAAAGATTTTAACTGCTGCGCCTGTTTCAATTTATTTATGTTTCTTTCAGCTAGAATGATTGCTTTAACCAGTTTGTGCTTTGAATATATCTGTGAAATGTTTAGTGATTAAGATTGTTAAGAATGCCATTCTTATTGTTTATTCCGAGATTCTAGATATGTAGTTCCGAGGTAATTAAGAAATAGCATTAGAGTTGTTCGTAGTGTATTCTTGGCTTGTACATGATGGAAGTTATGTTCAGCCTGTGTGTTCGGTTCAAGGGAATATGTAGATTTAGCTCTAGTCCATGTGGTTGATTGCAAGCATTGTAGTTTTTTTTGTTCACTATATTGTGATCTAAGGTTTGTATTTGTTCTATTATTAGATCACCCAAATAGAGTGGAAGGATAAATAGGATTGAGTTGTAGTGTCTTTTGAATCTAGTAGTAGGTTTATATCTTGGGCTCATGAGATTCTCTCTCTGAAGAAATGTCAGGAAGTTAAATGAGCAAGTTTTGCATTTGTTCTAGTAAAGGGTCAGCCAAATAGAGGAGAGGGATAAATAGGGTTCATAGTGTTGACCCTAACTAGTTTGGGATTGAGTACCTGGTGTTTTGAATCTATTAGGAGGTTTATATCTTGGGCTCATAGGATTCTTCTTAAAAAAGGTAGGAAGTGAATAGAGCAAGTGAAACAATAGTTGGGAAGAGAAGAAGGGAAAACCATTTTGTTCCAAAGGATATTGGTTTGGAAGTTAGTTTTTCTTGTTCATGTTAGATTTGTTTTTCAATAGAAAATGGAGAGCTTTAAGTCGATGACAACTTGATCATTGTTTGAATAACTGAAAAAGTGAGTTTAGGCTGCTTGTCTTAAAGTTGAAGAATTCTAGGTCTAGATTTGGAACCAGAAGTGTAACACTGCTGAAGTGCTGCCTGAGAATTAGAGCAAAAGGTGCCTGCCTCCTCATGATGCTCGAGTGACAAGGAGTTGTCCAAAAAAAAAAAAAATTGAGGAAAAATGCTGTCCATGCAGCGATTTTAATCACTTTTTAATGTGTTAATTTTGTTCGAAAGACATCGCTCCCTTAGGATTGATTTTTGCCTTTTTTTTTATATACCGTTAATGTTGTTTTTAGGAAAAAAGTTGTTGTTTTGGCTTTAAATACGTAGGTCTGTTTGGTTTTGATAAAATGTCATCTAATTTGAACCAAAATAAGGTTGGTTTTTCTCTTTTTGATTTGTTTGTTGTGGTATTTTTCGGTTGTATCATATACAAAAACCACATCTTTTGTATATTTGAATGATAAAAAAGAGTCCATAACTGTATGTCACACATTCATATCACCTGATTTAAAAAGGATGTGCCATATTGGAGGACAATTTCTGTATTGATGACATACATACCCACCCACCCACTTTCTTTAAGATTTTTTGATCTTTTTTTTTTCGGTATAATTTATGTAATGCAAGCCCCTAACGTATACAAAATATGACACTTTTGGTCTCCACATTCTTAAAACTAAACGGTGTCCTACCAGGAGCAGAGCGAAGAGAATGTTCAATTGATGCCTCCGGTTTGATTTTCATTTTTAAGTAAAGAGAAATAAAACAAACACGTATTCAAAACTCTACAAAATACCTCCACCTCCATATTTGGATATGATTTGATATTTTCAGCAAAAAACTTCTCCTTAATAAATTTTAGCTAATCGCACTTTTTTATTTTTGAAGATAAGCAACAAATTCAATTCACTTATTTTCTTTCATACCAAACATTTCTGATGTGAGACTAATGCTGTTTATTTACATTATTATAACCTATTCTCAATTTCACACAAAAGAAAACTATTGCCTGAAGGTCTGTCTCTAAATAATCTTTCATTTAACCAATCACTGTGATTAGATGGATGACGAAAACAAAAACACTTACTCAGGTAAAGCTGTCAATTCTGGACTTCTTACGTTAAGAAAAAATTGCTCTAGGGTAAAGACAAATAGAAAATTGTGAAATGCCACAAGCTGGTCTATTTTGGGAACCACCTATAGGAACAGATCCATTCCTGAAAAAAAAAAAAAAAGTGTCTATGAACTTACTTATTGAGCGCCTCCTTTCACATGTCACCCCAAAGAATTTCCTTTGTGCGAGTTCACGAATGGCAGGCTGCAGTCCTATCAAGGCTTAAGAGCTAGTGCCACACCAAACTTGGGAGTCTTATCCAAGGCTTTGGTGTCGAATTCGCTAGAAATGGTCAACAATGACTTTGGAA